TTATTCTGGTGGAGATGATGGTTCATCCATGCTCTCCATATTTACGTCGAAGAACCTACTACTTTACATCTTCCCCTTGAACTAGAAGGCATATAGACATTGAGATCGAAAAAGCTCGCAGTCGAATGCCTCCCCTTGGAGCTTGAAGCCATCGTGTCAAATGGAAATTGCACATATTATTGCGTCAATGGTATCTCCATATTAAGGTCAAAGAAATTTGCAGATGAATGCCTTCCCCTAGAACTGGTCTCGATGTTGCCATACGGATTGTTCATGGACCCACCTCGGTACAGATCGTAAGGAGTTGATAATAAATGTTTCCCCATTGAAGTTGATGGGCTGGCACCATGATACAGATTTCCCATTATGACATTAAAATCATTACACATTACAGTAGTCGGGCTGTCAACTTGATCAACTTGTTCAACCAACCCATAGTGGGAGCTTAATGAAAGACCCCGAACAACACGCACTTGAACAAACTTTGCATACATCTCAATATCGGCGTCTGAATAATTACTTTGAGAATCAACCATCATTTCAACATCATCATTGTTCGATAGTTCGAACGCTATATAAGTTAATGGCATCAATGATATTGGAAATCTGTACTGCAATAACGACATTCTTCTACTACTTCCAACATGAACCTTCCTTGAAATCTTCATTATCAGCTCCTCAAAAGATATGTTTCTCTTGAATTATATTTTATCATAATCATTTGATACGAAAACAACGCCGTTTTCATCTTCTCGAATTTCTTCATCATAAAAAACAATAGCTAAAATTCGCGCCATTATTAGAGTTTGAAAGTGCGACAATATTATATCTGGAAAAAAAAACTGAAACAAACCCTAATTAAATAAATAATATGCATGAAAATATAACACAATAAATTTTTTACACATAAACGTAAATAATTTAAATAATTTAATTTTATATTATTACCGTGTCGGCAAAAATATTTCGACGTACACTCCCGTTTTCCAATTATATAACCACAAAAATTAATTGAAAATAATTAATACAATTTTTTTCTTCAAATAATCATATATAATTATCAAAAATATTATAAAAAATTACCTTATAACGAAAGATCGAACGAACTTTTGAATAAAATATAAAAGGATTACCGGGTTTTTTTTACTGGTTGAGAGGATTATTGTAGTAGTTTCTAGGTTGAGAGGAATTTGTGAGAGAGTTTTAGGGGGAAGGGGTATTTATAGCGGAGAGACGATGCTTTAAAGCCGAGAAATTCGGATAAATTATGCAAGGTGCGGCCTCTGTACCACGCCTTCCATTATGCATGTGATAATTGCAAAGCGCGGCCCCTGTACCGCGCTATAGCCCTACGTGGCATAAGGCGCGCCCCAGGGGTCACGCTTTAGCCAGGTGTATCAAAGTCAACATAAGGCGCGTTACAGGGGGCGCGCCTTACCCCACGTGACGCCAGATCAGCGTAATGCGCATTGCAGAAGGCGCGCTGCAACGCGCTTTACTGCAAAGGGTGTTAGATCAGGTGATTTTCCCGAAAAATCACCCTAGCCCCTTTTATTTCCCTGTCAGGCACCATTCAGACAATATTTTTCGATCTAACACCCTTTGCAGAAAGGCGCCCCCTGCACCGCGCTTTACGCCACGTGGGGTAAGGTGCGCCCACCGCAACGCGCCTTGTTAAATGTGTAAAAAAATCGGGTGTTAATTTTGTAAATATTTTTAAACTGGTGCCTAATATGTAATTAATTTATGTTAGGGTGATATTTGTGTAAAAACACTAAATTTATCTATTTATTTATTTATGATATTATTTTTAACAACAGTTAATAATGTTTATTGACTTTTAAAATTAATTGTTTAAAAATATTAAAATAAACTTTTAATTACAATTAAGAGATCAAATGAATTATTGTTCACTTTTTTTACAAAAATAAATAAAAATGCAATAAAAAATAAAATTCAATAAAAATATAATGTAAAGCTAAAAAATATCACCTCTTTATTTAAAATATTCTTTCTAATATTAATTTTAAAAAATATAAAATAAATATTAAATTTTAATATTATTAAAAATGAAAAAACATTATTAATTGATAATAAAATAATAATAATTAATGAATAATAATTCATTTAATCCCTTAATTGTAATTAAAAGTTTATTTTAGTCAAGTTTATGATTGTTAAACAGTCGTAGGTGTGGAAAGCTACAGGAATCGAATGAAAATTCAATCGTACAAAGTCAATAACTCAAAATTGTCTAACTGTTGTCTAAATATCAACTCAATTGTACCACGAATAAACATCCGATCAAAGAGTTGATCTTTTCTGCTCAATCTTCATAAAAACTGTTTTGTCTCCTTATTTTCTCCCGCGTATGAGCTCATTTATTTTTCAATTCTTTTCTGATGAATATAGTTGCTCACATGCACAAAAATCAAAAGTATAGTGATTTTTATTGCAAAAGTCAATTGTAATTAAAAGTTTATTTTAATATTTTTTATATTTTTAAATAATTAATTTTAAAAGTCAATAATTTTTTCAAAAATATATAAAATTTATAATTTTTTAAATTATAAAATATTTATTATCATCATCATCATTTTGTAAAAGAAATAATAGTTATAAAACTTTTATAAAATTATTCATATTTTTAAATACTTTTAAATATTCTTTTGTAAATTATTTCATAACACGACAAATTTTAATTTTTGTATGCAATTACATAATATATATATTCTTTTGCATGAATGTTATAAAAAGAAAGGAGCTCATACACGGGAGAAAATGATGAGACAACAGTTTTTGTGAAGATTGAGCAGAAAATATCAACTCTTTGATAGGATGTTTATTCGTGGTACAATTGAGTTGATATTTAGACATCAATTAGACAATTTTAAGTTATTGACTTTGTACGATCGAATTTTCATTCGATTATTGTAGCTTTCCATACCTAAGACTGTTTAACAATCATAAACTTGACTAAAATAAACTTTTAATTACAATTGAAGGATCAAATGAATTATTATTTTTTAACAACAATTAATAATATTATTCATTTTAATAAAATTAAAATTTAATATTTATTTTTATATTTTTTTAAAATTAATATTAGAAAGAATATTTTAAATAAAGAAGTGATATTGTTTTAGCTTTACATTATATTTTTATTGAATTTTATTTATTTTTAATTCATTTGATCTCTCAATTGTAATTAAAAGTTTATTTTAATATTTTAATATTTTTAATCAATTAATTTTAAAAGTCAATAAACATTATTAAATGTTGTTAAAAAATATCAAAATAAATAAATAGATAAAGTTAGCGTTTTTGCATAAATATCACCATAATAAAATTAATTATATATTAGGCACCAGTTTGTAATTATTTACAAAATTAACACCTGAATTTTTTACACGTTTAGCAATGCACGTTGCAGGAGGCGTCTTATCCTACGTGGCGTCAGATCAGTGTAAAGCGCGGTACAAGGGGCGTGCCTTTCTGCAAAGGATGTTAGATTTGAAAATATAGTCTGAACGATGTCTGACAGAAAAATAAAGGAGGCTAGGGTGATTTTTAGAGAAAATTGCCTACAAAATTGAATTGACATCTGAAATATATTTATCTTTATAAAATTATTAAAGAGAAAAATAATAAAAGTTAAATTAAGCTTAAAACATTCTCCTGCACATTGGTGATTGTTCGCGCGATGGTTCATCACGGTCAGGTTGTTAGCGCGTGTGACAAAATGATTGTCGAGCCGCACGACTAATAGACGGTATTTGTTTCTCTGCAGGCTGTCGTGTTTCGGTCTTTCTAGCAAGTGTGACTGATATTTAAAAATTAAAAAGCTCCAAAATTTTAATTCAATAGTAAATGACCTGAGTTATTTAAATCTTCATTGATACTAGGTTTTAGGTTCTTCAAACCTCAACAATACTTGTTTTGTAGAAGAATGATCCGCTTACGTCGGTATAAATCTAACTATTTATTTTCTGTAAAACATTTTCAGTAAATAGAAAATAGAATTTAACGATTAGATTATTAAAAAATTAATTGTATACGAAATTTATAGAGGTATGTAAAAGTCGTTTAGTTTTACACTCCCCTTGCACATATTTGACCTTTTTGTGGATTCCAACAGCAGCAAAACAAATACAAGAACTAACCATCAATTTTCTAATATCTAAATCCACTTTATTTTAGTGAATAATTAATTCGAATATCTATATCCATTTATCCCACTTTATATTTATAAATGTAAATTTTTTTACCTACTAAATTTGAATTCGAACAATATCTTTTTTTTAGCATATTAGCCTCTAAAGTTTTATTCTTGAGCAAAATACCCTTGGGTGAATGGAAATCGTAAGTTGACTAACAGTCAACACTTCCTATCAAAAAAATTAAACTATTTTTAAATATAATTTTATAATATGTAATTAATTATAATTATAGTTTACTCTATTTTTTTTTACTGAAATGACATGACACATGAACTTGTCACGTCTGTATGAAACATTGACAGTTAATCAACTAATAATTTTCATCCAACCAGGGGACATTTTGCTCCAAAATGAAATGTTGAAGGCTAAAATACTCTAAAAAAAAAGAGAATTGAGGACAAAGTGACCATTTGTGCAAACATTAGAGGTAATTTTGTTATTATGTCATAAATAAACAAGTTTTGTTAAAGAATATGAAAACCATGAAATTATCCCACTACAAAGTATGTTGATATTTTAATGTTTATCAGCAAGATAAGCAAAGTGAAGTCTAACCAATTGTGTAAAGGGTAACCTTATTTTCTTATTCTATGGCACTTAAGGAACTTAAAATGTGTAAGAGTTGATTCTTCCAATGGGGAAGGTTTTGTCTTTTGATCATATCCCCCAATTAAATCAATCTCCATAACACACTACAATTTCTCCGGCAAATCAATGTTTTCCACCAAATATTAAAATGACATTCCTAACTCATCAAATACATAACAAGAAACAGAAAGCTCACTTGATATTGACAGAAGAAACCGCGGAAGTAATTTCCCGGCATCGTGGATCGCCGCTTTCTAAGCAAACACCTCGAGGGTCTTCCCTAACTAACAAGGCCAGGATATTGCGTGAATTCCATGCATTTATCACGTACCCGCTAGAATCGCCCAAGGTAACAGCGAAGACGGCATCAAATCCACCTGCTCCAGGAACCCCAGCCAATAATACTCCTTCCATGTCCATAGTAGCATCCAGAAGTTGAGTCTGTGGTTCAGGTTCTATCTGCAAGTTGAAATTCAAAAACAATATAAAGGAAGTAGATTTTGAAGGTAATGCACTACGCTAAAACGATAATTCAACGTTTTGAAACCCAACACATAATATACCCCTGTTCTTAGCCGATAAATGTTGATGGAAGTTCTTGAAAAGTTTGATAACTATTAGCCTTTGATTGCTGTAGTTAAGTTTTTTTTTTAAACATCCTAAAATAAAAGACAAAGATGGTCCATTTAGGGTCTAGAATTTCAACAGTATTAACCTCCTAATAGAATCAGATGAAAAGAGGATAAAAAGTTATTCAATCTCTCACTATTTTTTATACGTCTTTAGCAGACAGAAGAACACAAAATTGGACATTTATAAGCATCAAATCAAAGAGAATAACATACCGGAATTCCTGCTGCCTCTCCCATTGTTCGCATTTGATTTCTGATATCGAGCATAGTGTTCCTTGCCTTTAGCAATGCTTTAACAACTGCTTCTTTGATTGACTCAGTTACTCCATCCATCCACTGTCCATGCAATTGGTTTTGGAGACCATCTTAAAAGTCAGCATTTGGAAGGGAATAGAACACAAAATAAAACGAGAAAACTAGACAATTTAGCCAAACAATCGCACCAACTTTCTGAACGAACGTTTAAGATGACTGGAGCCTTCTATGATTATTGATCCAACCATCGATCAAATATACAAGCCAAGAAATTGAAATAGAAATTTGACCTACCAGTTCAATAAAAACAAGTACACAGTTCTTCTACAGCTTAATAGATCTTTGCAGACCATAGTGTTGTGTGGTCTTGCCAACTATGACTAATTGACTATAGCTTGACACGCTTGGAAGGAAATCACTACTTCGAAAAGAAGCTGACGTGGAACTAAGGATATTGTTTGCGAAACTAGGAATTACAATATCAAGCCAACAGAGTCGAGTTCTTCCCTATTGCTATCCCCCCATCCACAAAGACACGAAGATAACCGAAAATGCATACAGGACGGTTATGGATCGAACTATCCATTAGGCTACGTTTTATAATTAACAATCTTATATCAGGAAAACAGTATTAACAATCTTGCCGGTTTATAAAAGAGTGCAGCTGTCTTTAAGCTCCCAATTGTCTTAAGCACTAAAGAATCTTTCTGAGCAAGAGACTAATGTGAATAATGGGTGTAATAAGATTCAACGGATCTCTAGCTATTAGTAAAGCAGTATCATTTTCAGAACTAGAGTATCTTCCTGAGCAGGAGACAACACTGAAAAACTCGGTATGATACTTGAATGGTCCTTTTGCTATGAGTTCAAAAATCTGCAAAATTCTCACAATCTAGAAATCCAAAATTTTCAACAAAAAAAACAGTGAAAAATTCATAAGGAAACTCTATTAGTTGTTTTCTTTAAACAATACCTTTGCTGGTTTAAGTCTGCTACAGCTATCAATCACACATTTATAGGCATCCCAATTTTCTTTGGCTATTTTTCGTAAAATGTTGAATTGAGTCTCAAGTTCTGAATTAGCCTCAGCCAGCTTTCTCCATGTTTCTTGAGATTTTTCAGGATCAGCCTTCAGCCATTTTTTAACTGCACCTACCATTGACGGTGTTGATGATCCACCAGTTCCAGGTTCTCCTAGTAACTGTGACAGACAACAAACTTTTTGACTATAGAATACTTTTTTTAGTGATAAAATGATATTAATAAGGTAGACAAAGCACCATAAATGCTCCCAAAAGCATTACTGTCTAAGCGGAAAAATAGTGAAGCTCATAATGCTTACGAGTGTCATTAATGGTGGTAAAGAGAATTCAGTCCTCTCATGGTCCCATTTTCCATTTAGAATGTTCCGAGTTACTTCCTCTAGTGGCACCCCTTTCACTGCAGCCTGCAACATGGCAAGAGACCTAATAAAGAACCCAAATAAGTCACTAAAACAGCCAAGGCGGTTAACAACAAACAGCACTGCAATAGCATAAAATGATAACTCATACACCTAGTATTATCTTACTCTATATCAACCTAAGGCTGTACACCAGGGGAAAAACAAATTTAAGGACTAAATATTTTATGGGTAGCAGTAGCACCACTGTCTGACTGCCCAGAAAAGTATTGTATTGCTTTCCTGGTCATTGAGCTAAGTTTATGTTTTCAGATCTTCATCACTGCACATTATTCCAACCTCCCAACCTTAGAGAATGTGTGTGAGAGAAACACAGAGAGAGACCTGGGCAGCAGAAAGCACTTCAGGTGAAAAACGAACATAACGCTGACTCCCATAGACAGCAGAACTAACATCGAAGCCACTGCCAACTTTTCCTTGAGCAATACTGTGGGCACTTTGAGCTATCATATGCACGATCTCAAGATCCGTGGAATTTTTATTTTGTTGGTGTTGATCTTCAGATGAGGTGGAAAGGTTAACAACACCAAGGTAATGAAGTAAAGCAGCAACTACAGCAGTAGTCATTGCTGCAGATGAACCCAATCCAGTTTTTGCAACTTCAGGTTTAGAATTTCCTCCATTTGATTCCTCAGAATTGAAAGTAATTGAGGTAAAAGGTGGTAGAGTAGCCAATGATTCTGGTGTCAATGGAAGTCCAAGTGCTTCGATCTGTGGAGGAACATGTCAGCAGCTAATATTGCAGTACTAACGTACAAGAACAGGCAGCAGTTACTAAATAGTAAATGCTCATCTCAAGAACATGTATTTTATTTCTATAAAGAATATTAGAGAAACACAAAAATACCTGATTCCTGTATGAGTAAAAGTCATTGCAACCTAAGATCGTGATATCAAGACCTGCATATAAGTTCAGTTCCGTTCTTAGATCCCTGAAGATGTGGTTTCCTTAAAAGGAGAATAAATCAACGTTAAATATTACCTTGTAAGAGCAGTTTATTCAATGCATCCTTCTTATTCTCGTCAAATGTAGCATGTGCAGATGCTACAGTGTATTGGATTGCATTCTCTACAAAAGGGTTTCTTGATTCACTGGAATTATATGCCAAAAAATTAGTGAACCAACATAACAATCCTTAGCTTCTCTCATAATTGGCCATTTAACTTATATTTCGTACAACTATCGGAATGAAAAAAGACACGCGGAATAACTATTTAAACTTATTTAATGCTAGATACACGTCAATAATAGAAAAGATGTGGTCTACAATGCTAGATAGGCATCCATTATGAAAATGATGCAATCTATGACGCCAGATGTGCAAGGAAAAAACTTTGATCACATGATGAAACTTGCCTTGAAGATACACACTGAAGTGCTAAATGTTTCCAAGACAGTTTGTACATGCTTTCTCTGGAAAGCTGAGGAGATGTTAGTTTGACATCGGTCCATGACTGAAAGACAATACAGAGGACAAGAGTTAAGTGTTACAGCAAGCAAAAAAACTACTGTCAAGCATCTTGTTTTTAGAGCAAGGAATCAACAATTATAAAATATGACACTCCAACAAGCACCAAGCAAAGAATCAATATCATACACATGCAATGAAGTTTTAAAAACTCTGAATTTTGGTGATGTTCTTCAATTAAATGAGTTAGATTTCAAATTCAGTGCCAGATTTCCTTAATTACCATTAAATTGAAACATGATAACCATTCATAGAAGCTCTCAGAGCTTTCAAAAGAATGGAAACAAAAGGATTAAGTTACCCATGCCCAGCTTTCAGGCTTGACATCTTCATAAATTGGCTTCACAACAGCGTAAAATCGCGCGTTTGTGCTCAGAACAATCCCAGCATTTGGCCTCTCCAAAATTAAGTACCCACCGGTCATCAAAACCTTCCCCGGAGCAGAAGCAACTCTGTAAATTAACATTCATCAATCACAAGAATGATCGAAAGTAAGATACCTTTATCATGATTCGTGCTAAACCACAACAAGATAAATCAAATCAACAAAACCTGGGTCGAATGAACTTAAACTTACACTTCCATTGCCGACGACGATTATGATTTGGGAGTTGAAATCTGAGTACCTCGAATAGATAAAAGAAAACTGAAAGAAATTTGAAGGCTTTAGAAACAAAGGAAAGATTTTATTTTCTATTTAAACAGAGGGAGATTGATCTGTTGCCCCACCCGACCCCAGAATAGATAGGGAAAGCTTGAAGCGGCGATTCCGTAACTTAGTAATCAGAACCCGAAACAAGAAGAGTAAACCGGCAGTCGGCAGTCAGCACAAAACAGTCTAAAAATATTATTTTGTTTGACGTTAATGACTATGTGAAGATGGGGCCATTCACACCAACCATTATCACTATCTAATAGAAAATTAATTGTTAATTTGATAACCTGTGGTGAACTAAAAATCAAGATGTTCACTTGTCAGATGCGTCAGCTATAAAAATATCATTCAAACATTGTTTGATTTTTTTTATAATTCGATATTTAATTTATTTAATTGACTAATTTAAATTAAATATTACAAAAGTTAATATATTTTTAATTTAATTTTCCATCAAAAATTAAATTTCTAATCATATATTATAAAGAATAATTATTTTAATCTATATTATTTCGTTTATAATATCATAAATTAAATCTTTTATTTTATTTTATTGATAGAAAGTCGCTAGTTTTATTAAAAATAAAAATATTCAAAATTACAATAAAAATTTATAAGAATAGTCGTAAACACAAACTAAATTATAATAAGGATATTTTCCTATAACTATTGACACAAAACTAGTCACCTAGATCTCACAATGATCATAAAAGGAAAAGGTTAAAAAACCTAACCAATGCTCGAATAAAATAAAGTATGAACAAATCGTATTACATCGACAAACGAACCACAAAAGGCGATTAAGCTACTGAAGACATTGACAAATCGTAAATTAAAGTCAAGCGACGTGTGGAAACTATCTGTGAACACAAAACGCGTATCGAAATCAATCAGGGGGTCCAAAGTAGGGAAGATCAACATGATAACAAATAAATGTCATATTGATCAGTCGTGATGATATCAAATCCAACTCTGAGAAAAAAGATAAACATCGGCAAAAAACGTAAGCTACAAAAAGGGCAAAGAAAAACTTGCCACAAAGACAGAGATAAACGTATAAAAGTAGAGAACATATCACAAAGATATAAATATTCTTATTAAAAAAAACTAAAAAATTAAAAAACAAAGAAAAAATACAATCGACGGACGGTAACCAACATCAAAATCATTATCGTCGCCGGTTAAACAAAATTAAAGAATAAAAGTTGAATTAATCAATAAAATTGATACAAATTATAAAAAAGAAATAGAGAAGATCAAGAAGAAAGTGAGTATGATTTTGAGTTAATCTTTTATTTTATTTAAAAGATCTTATAATATAATTATTGTCAGAACTGTCTTTCGGTTGGGCACCGGAATTGGGCTTCGACTTGAATTGATGTGGACTGGAGTTGCCACCGACCACTTTAAAACGAATTTAGGTGGGTCGGACACCATCTTACCTGATCTGCGTTGTACCAGAAATGTGTCGGGTTCGGGAGTCGGTTACGGTCAAGGAAGGATTAGCACCCTTGAACCGCCCTTTTGGTACCAATTAATTTACTGTTGTCTTTATTTGCGAAAATTAAAATTAAAATTAAAATTTAAAAAACTCGATTCAAATAATTACCTTTGATCGATTGGAATTATCACTGAAAATGCCAAGAAAATGTTAGATGATGAAATAAGAATAAACACGAAGAAAAAAGAAATGAAATATATATGTATGTACAAAATGGATGAAGAAGGAAAAAGAAAATAATAAAATAATAAAATAAAATAATAAAAAACAATAATAAAAGATTAGTTAAAAAAACAAATAAATAAGAATAAAAATAATAAAAAAATGTAGTAAAGTAAAATAGAAAAACAAAATTAAATTAAAACCATGAAGGAAAAATATATAAATAAAATAAAAACATAGAGGACGAAAATGGAAGAGTCATAAACATTATTACACAAATTCGAATGTTAATAAATATGGCACAATATATAACAGATGACTAAATTGTAAACGAGAGAAAACAAATGCCCAAAACAGAACACTAAAACTCCATTAAGTGATTAAACGACCAGATTACAGAGCATGGGGGACTAACAAGGATATTATCCCTTTTTTGTTCAAAACACGGAAAGTTTGAGGCCAAAACGATGTAGCTTCGCGTTTAGTATATAACTCTTATCACACGGCTTATTTTCCTCATATGTTATCATTTTCTTCCTTACCTCAAAACCAGAGAAAAGAGAGAGGGGAATGAGCTCTCCCAGAGGCTTCGACTGAGCCTAGAATCCGGCGAAGTTCCACCGGCGCCAGAGAATAGAAAAGACGTCACCTTTCGACGCGTTCTTCAACCCCGGATACGAATTCGGGCTTCGTTTTGCCTGGAAACGCCTCAAAGTTCGTAGATCTACGAAAGTCCTTTCGTATTTTTTTTTTACTTGGCTTCGGGTTTTCCGAATGGTTCTGCTTCTCTTGTGGTTATACTTGTACTCGTCGATGTGTTGTTTTGTGGTGGTTTGGTGATATTTTTATGGTTTTGTTGTTGTGATCTTTGTTCTCTGTTGATGGTGTTATGGGACTGTGTTGTTTGGGTACCGTTGATGCGTACTGTGGTGTGGGTATTTTCTGTTGTGTACTCCCGTGGTCTTTTCCTTGGGTCTGTTGTGGCATGATGATGGTCACCGTGGGTTCGTGACTCTCTGTTTGGTTGTGCGTGGCCGTTTGTTCCCGTTGTGGGTTCTGTTGGTTTTTTGGATTCCCCTCCAGTTGTTGATATGTGGTGGGGTATTTATACCCCCACCGGTGTTGGTCAGTTTTCGATGATAACGGGGTCGGTTGTTGGCCGGGGATTTCGGGATGGGTCAGTCCCGATCTCCTCGGCCTAAAATCTCGGTGACCGGTGTATGGTGGCGTTCAGGCTTCTGGTAACTTTGATTTGATCTTGATCGTTGGATTGGGTCAGATCCAACGGTCCCCTGTTGTGCGATGCTGTGACATATGCTGGAACCCTAGTTTGACCTCTGGGCTGGATCAGACCCGTTTGACTGGATTTGGACCCGTTTTTGGACCTGAAAAAAACAAAACAAATTAAATTAAATTAAATTAGATTAATAAAATGAAATAAAATAATATGATATAAACTATATAATATATATATTTCAAAAATATTTTTTTAGAAAACTATATACTTTAAAAAAGTTTTCAAAACTATATATTACATAGTTTCCAAAATGTTTTAAAAAATATTATATAAGTTTTCAAAAAAAATGTTTTTAAAACTATATATTATATAATTTTACAAAAAATGTTTTTAAAACTATATACTATATATGTTTTCAAAATGTTTTAAAAACTATATAATATTTAAACGTTTTCAAAATATTTTCAAAATTATATATTATATACGTATTTTCAAAATGTTTTCAAAAAAAAACTATATAATATATAAATGTTTTCAAACATGTTTTCAAAACTATATATTATATATATTTTCAAAAACCATTTGCAAACTATATAATATATAAACGTATATGTAAATAAAAAAATGGACGAAAATGAGTGTCTACAATTATTATATGTAGCTCAAATTTAAATTAATTCAATGATTAAAGCACGGATATTATTTGTAAATATCTCATATTCTAATGTATAGTTTATAAAAATATGAGTTAAGTACACAAATGAACCATTCACTATAGAGTATTGCTTTATTAAGTTCATCAACTATTAAAAGTTACAAAATGATCCTTCGACTATAGAGTATTGCTTTATTGAGTCCATTGTTATTAAAAGTTACAAAATGGTCACCCGATTATTCATTATGTTACAAACTCGTCATTATCTATTAAAATATTGACTTCTGAGCTGAATGTTAACCTACTAACTGTGATATGATAAAATATGATCTCATAATCTCAAACGACTATTATATATTAGTCATAATCTTTAACGTTCAAATTAGACAACCGCCAATTTTTTAACAAAAAAGAACGAGTCTGGAACATAATACATAGTCGAATGACCATTTTGTAACTTTTAATAGTCAATGGACTTAATAAAGCAACATTCTATATTCGTAGGACTATTTTATAACTTTTAATAGTCGATGGACTTAAAAAATAGTACCCTATAGTCGGGAGATCATTTGTATATTTTATCCTAAAAATATTTGAGCTTTTATTATTAAATAATTGAAAATCTTAAATAGTTACTATCTTATAAACATTCGTACTAATAAAAAATAAGCTATTATAAATTTTTTTCGTATGAAAAAAAAATAATGAAAAATATAAACTAAGTAGAAGAAAAACCAATGAGCTATGGGGAGTATAAAATAAAATATTTCGACTTTGTGGAATGTTTTTACTTATTATTACGTTTATGTGCCGTGTGCATTAGGGTTTTGTTTTTAGTTATTTATGGGTTTTAGGCTTAATGGGTTTAATAATGGTTCACAGCATTTTAGATATGGGTTTGGCCCGTTTGAGTTTAATAATTAGTTTCTATACCTCGTAAATATATATTTATAAATATTAAATTAAATATGAAACCCTAACAACAGTTAAACGGGTAAATCACCCCCCATTACTCACCAATTTATTACCACTTTCCTATTGTAGGCAAAGCTAAAATGTCACTAATGTTATATTTTCTATTTGGCTTTAATATACAAAAGGTGCTAAATGTATGTCCGTTTTTTTAGTTTAATGCCTAAGGTTTTTTTTTTGTTTTAATTTGGTGTCTAACATTACATTCCGTAACTCAGAATGGGTCACACGTTAACCTATTAAAAATGCCACGTGACATATTTTTTTAATATTAAAAAATAATTTGTACAAATAAAAAATAAATTTAAATTAAAAAAAAAACATTTTAGTGGGGGGGAAAACCAATTACCCAGGCTAACCAGAACCCTTTTCCCCTCCCCCATTTTATGTGTGTATCCCCAAAACTCTTCGCCCTCCGATCAGGTATCTCCAACCATCGTAGAAGTGCCTCGTCGTCGTTAACGGTCTCAGCAACGACTATCGACCCAACCCTGCACTCCAATCGCCTGATTTGGCCGTTGTCGCGTCTTAATCGCTGTAGACGCCCATTTTCGTCCAGGGCTTATTTAATATATATTAACATAGTAGAGTTTTTGAAAATATTTCTGAAAAAATAGAATATATAATTTTTGAAAATATATATA